CTCTCTTCCATCGCTCTTCTGTGCAGCGCTTCGGCCCCACTGTCTTCTGTAGTTTTGACCTTTCTTCCTCTTGTGTAGTTGCTCATGGTTACATTGGCCCCATCGGAATAATCCAAGATAATGGCCCCATCTCTAGATCCTTAGCACGTGTTGATCATATGGCAGTATCCTTACTGTCACATGATGTAGCATACAACAGGTTCCAGAAGTTAGGACAGGGACATCTTTGGGGAGCCATTATTTAATCAAGCACATCTGGATAGATGGATACTATAACAAGATATTTTGATCTATGAAAAATGCCGTTCGTATTTTACTGGAGAATATAAAGTCTCTATTAAAAATAAAAAGGAATGATTTGTAAAAGTCCTGTAGCAGCGTTATTAGCTCACAAAATCTTGTAGAATGGGGCAATTAGTTTCTGAGGAATCCAATAAAATGGGAACATATTGTACTCTAAGGAGGCATTCATCTGTAGCTACTCCCAATCTCTACTTTGTTTTTAATTTGTAGAAATAATTCAACTACATCTCCCATATTTTTCTTATCCACACTCTACCCTGCCTTGCCACTAAAAGCTTCTTAATAGTGTGGTTTCATTGAGGGGGACTAATGGATCATAGCATGCATTTAAAAAATTGGAGATATCTATGGTGAATTATCTTGAAAGCCTTAAAAATATTTAGTTTCTAGTATATATGTACAACATATATATATATGCATAAACACACAAATATAAATATATAGTGTAGTTTTGATGGCAATGACATCTAAAGGTTGATGTTTCCAAGATTTTCTTTTATTCATTTTTTTTGGTAAGCCAAATCCTTCAATGAAGGCTGTACAATGCATCAGCAGATGTTTAGAAAGAATCTTCCAGTCTCACACATCAAGTTTGCTGGCTTTCAGCCCATGCATCTGTCTGGGTTGCTGCATTATTTAATGTAAAGAGAACAATTTAGCTGTAATGTGGGAGTTACATACGGTTTTGTCAACTTTCAGCTATTTTTTTGTTTTATTTTGAGACAAGTCTACGTATGCAGTTCAGGCTCACCTTCAACTACGTAGCTCAGGCTTTCCTTGAACTTACAGCAATACTCCTGCATTAGCCTCCCATGTGCTGGGATTAAAGGGACACAACACCATGCCTGACAATTCTAAGACATCTGTTTTTCCATAGATTTTGAAAGATTAAAATAGTATAATTCTGTATATTAAAAAAGAAGACATACTGATTTTAAATTATTGCTTAACACAAAACATTATGTGAATCTGTTTTCTTGACCTAAAACATTTTTTAAAAGAATTCATGTGTATCTCAGGGAAGTTCAATTACAATTTTGTGGAGCCTACATTAAAGAAGCATACATTTATTTACTTATTTATTTATGGTTTTTTGAGACAGGGTCTCACTATATAGTTGAGACTGACCTGGAACTCATTATGTAGCCCAGGCTAGTCTCGAACTCACAGCAATCCTCCTGCCTCAGCCTCCTACGTGCTGGGATTACAGGCGTGCACCACCACTCCTGGCAAGAAGCATACACTTAGATGTATTTAGAATTAAATCTAGAATATACATTGAACATAAATCTTAGTTGTTACACATAAAAATTCTTAATTGTTTTCTTTTATCTCTATTTATTTACTTCAGTACCAAGAATTGAACTCAAGGCCTTGCACTTGCCAGGCAGGTGTAGCACCACTAAGCTAAATCCCAGGCCCTCTTTGATCTCTTCTTAATTCTTTCCCTCCCTTTTGTTCCTTTTTCATGTGATTATCACTCTGCATACCCTAATTTAAGAGATGTCAACAGTTTCTATAGTCCCCATAATGGAGTAATAGAAAAGAGGAAAACACCTTTTATTAATAAGTACAGGTCTTTCTAATGTTCTTGTAACACCACCAGAATTACTCTTTTTTTAATCATAGTCTCAGATATTATCTATTTCTCTGTCTCATTTACATTTCTATTATAAGACCTTCAGTTTTTTTGTAAAGTATCCCCAACTACTTCTTCGCCTCCACTAAAGGGACTCCAATAGCTGTGGCAGTTCCTGTTATCTTCAAGGGCCCCTACATAGTTGATCTTGGCCATATCACAAATGCAATCTATTTCCTCTTCCTCCTCAGTGACGCTACTTATGAAATTCCAGAAAGTTCTGTGCTATTCACTGCAATTTGCTCCCTGTAAGTGCTGCACGTGGCTGGCATTCCCCTGAAATCCTTTTCATGTCCATGGGCACTGCTGGGTTTCTCCACTCTACGACTGGTCATTCTCCTCCTCCCCTTCTGCTGTGTTCCTGCTGTGTAACAGTCACAGTGGGTTCTAAGAAGCACTGCCTTGGGATCTTCATATTTGCTCATAGTTACACCGTTCTTGGTTTCCTGACCCTTAGAAACTGTATAAGGTAATATATGCCTACCATCTTAGGTTGCTAAGTTTTTGTAACTTCCTAGGCTATTGGTGGAACTAGAGATGCTAGTGCTTTATGAAATCCAAAGTATTCCATTTTTTGTTATATGTGGAAACTACAAAAAGAAAAGGATGACAGGAAAGTAGGAGGAAATATACAAGAGAAGCATGAGGAATAAGGGGGAGGAGGGAGGAAAGGATAAGGGGATGACAGGGTGGAAATCATGTATATCACAGGCAAAATAAACTCGCACTTATGTATATTGTGCATTAATAAAAATGAGCATACAATGGCCTAATGTTACAGCCATTTGTGTTTCTGATATGCATTTTTGTAGGCTATCTGCCTCATTCACTATGGTCTCCTTACCCTTGTTGACAGAGGGCCCCTGTGACCATTAACATTTGTTGTTGATAACTGAACACACGCTGGATGCTAGACCCAGGCTGAGCCAGAAAGACACTTTCTGGATATTTGGAGTTAAAATTAGAAGAATGAGAAAAAAGAATCGCTATGTGACTTCCCTCTGTCAGTCTAGAGAGGCTATGCATTGAAAAAGCAAGACTCTCTGGAGTTTTAAACAAAGCTCACTTCTTTCAAGATATGTGTCCACTGCAGGATGGTGAACAGACTCTGAGAAGAAATAGCTACACAAGGACACAGGCTATTGGCCCAGACGCCATCTTGAATGTTGTCATCACCTTGCCAAAGAAAAATGTGAAGTTTCAGAGGAACTCACATAAATTATCAACAGCCCAGCTTTAAAATGACCCAGCATTTTCCCCCAATTCATTGGCCAGAACTTCTCAACACCCCTCTACCTCTCTCTGTCCCCAACCACCCAATTATAAATTAAATTCAATCCTACCATCTGGCAAGAAGGTAGAAAGTAGAGGCTACTTGAAGAGCACCAGTGGTTCCAGTCTAGCAGCATAAATTGCACAAACTATTGGCCATATTTTGTAATGTAGTCTGTGAATCAAAGAATGACGAAGCAGAGGCCTAGAGCAAAGCGAAGGCAAGGGGTGGGAGGGAATTTGGCTTCAATTCCAGAGAGTTTTTCAGATCCTGTTTCCATTTTGTACTGAGATCTGGGTACATTCCTGCTTTGGATGGGGAGATCAAAAGCTCTAAGAGGAGTCACTTAAAAACAGATTTAAAGTGAGGGAGCACAAAGACAAAAGAAGGAAGTGGTAGTAGTTTTCTAGCATCTCACAATCTGGTTCTGAAAACAGAAAAATAAATATTCTAAGAGAGGAACGCAAATGGTGATGCAGGTGCATAAAGACGCCACACCACATACACCTGGGGACATTCAGGACAGCATTTGAACCCTGAGTCATGTGTTGGAGTTAATGAGAGGAAGAGAGAACAGCAACCTGGATGGAGAAAAGAGTGCATGCAAAATCAATGAATTTATTAGAGTGTGGGCATTCCAGAAATAACGAAGCAGGACATAAAGAACAATTCAGGGGTTGCTTGAAATAGTTTCTCTGTTGGACAGTTGTAGACCCTGGCTCTGTCAAGCGACCTTAACCAAGGTACTACGTTTTTTTGTGACTCCCATTATGTGTGGCCATAAGGTCTGGAAAGATACTGGCTGTTTTTGAAGATGGAACCTCTGGTTTATTCTTTGGCATAGGCTTGTTTCTGGATGAAGGATGTCATGTTCCTTGTTGTCTCAAACAAGGGACTGGACAAGACACAGTGAAAGTATGCATTTACTGAAGGCAGAAGAAAGGCAGGAGTGGGCTGGTGAACAGGCTCAGAGTAGCCCCAGAATAAGGGAAAGGCATTTTTGGTATCCAAAATTCCTGGATTGGCTTCTCCTCTGTGCAAATAAGGCATTGGGACAGTTGTTCTATCAAAATCTCACTTGGACCATTGACAGATTTAAACTGCCCCATGGACTCCCTTGGCTTCCCACCAATATAAGTGAATAATTAAAAAGAACACTCTTCTGATTGGTCCTGCAAACAGCACCAGATTCAAATGAAGGATTGAAAATACTGCTTTCTGATTGGTTCCATGTACAGTACTATCCTCAGGAGCCTTGGAGTCATTTTTAGTCCTGTGATCTGCATGTTCTCTTGAGTTTTTATGACCTCTGACACATTTCACCCAGTTATTTGTCCTGCTTGACCCAGCTTTAATCTCCTATGTCAGGATTAACGAAATCAGAGACACCAATCACTTGAAGCAATACACCACAGATGCCTATGCAAGGCTTGAAAGAAATGCTACATTAGTAAGCTATGTTCATGGGAATTTTACACACATTTATGATAAGGAGGAACGCCACTTTAAACATACCATTTAATGTCATTGTGATGTAATCGTTATTTATTTTATGTATTTGCTTATGTTTCCAGACTCTATGGTCACTTGTTAATCCTGACCTCTGGGAATTTCTGTGAGGATTAAAAATGAGTTAAGTCATGAAAAGCACACAGTGAGCGGCTTTTTCTAAATTCATTAAACGTCATCTATAGTATTTAGGAGGTAGAACTGACCAAAGAGGTGAAGCAATCTTAAGGTCTGGCCTACTTCCAACCACTGGCTGGAGGGGTTGTGCCTGTCCAACACAAAAGGAGGAAAGCTTCTTATCTATGTGTGGGGGACAATCACTGACGACCTGTTGTCTACTTGTCTACTCCTCTCCCTGGCCATAGCACTGTCATATTCACTACAGTGCAAGTTTGGGCAGATATACGCTTACTACCCACTATGTCAGAGCTTAAGGAAACAATGCTGAGGTAGCCTTTGTCTTCACAGAATTTGGGCGTGGTGAATTCAAAGCTTCTCCGGAGTTGTCGGTCTCAGAGTTATCCTCAAGCGCAGGGCATCTGAGGCTGCACGCTAATGCTGACAAACGAGGTCAACCGAGAGTCAATTTTCCTACGTGCATGAGGAAGGAAAAAGACGCAGCGTGTGGTGTTAAGAAGGGGAAACCCGGCAGAGGAAGGGAAGGTAAGAGCCCATCAACGATGACAGGCAGAAAGAGGCGGGTAAAATTCAAAGGAAGAGAAGATTCCCTGTCCCTGCTAGGCCTTCTCTGGGGAACTAGATCGCTGGCCTCCAGGCGGGACTAGCAATCTCCCTCCGTGGCCCACCCGCTTCCGCTTCCGGGACTGGCACGACGCGACGTCCTCACGGGGGCGGGACT